CCGTCTGTTAAGGCTATAGGGGGGATCTTTGCCTTCATGCTGGACATATCTATATTATGTACAGGTATGAAGTATGTATCGCAAAGTGTGCCTGAGTGACTGGGTTCCATTTTACTGGTGTTATTGTAGGGCACCGAAATGTGCAATTTGGCACAATAATATTTGACTCTATGCTTATGACTCAAAACAAAAATGGTTTTAGAATATCAGCTAAGCACTGCGCCACTGCTCTCAACAACCACGCGCTAATGCAGCATCGACAGCACAGTTCGCTATTGAACATTTCTATCACGGGACCTTACTACGCCCTTGTGGTGTTCTGTGTTGGGCTGTGAGGATCGGTGCGGGCCGGGCCCCTGTGGAGGTCAGCGGGCAGAGGGGTGGGGGAGGTGGCGCAGAGGGCGAGGGGCTGCGAGTGGGAAGGGCTGGACGCGGTGGAGCAGGAGGAGCAGGAGGCGGTGGAGGGCGTTGGCCTTCGACGCTTAAGCGATCTGACAGCTGCGCAATTCGGTTGACTCCAAAGTGCGCCGGTCTCCTCGCAGCGCAGCCCGGACAGGGCCTCTGCCACGCGCCCTGCACCGCGAGCGCTGCCCTCGCTCGGCGCTGCCCTCGCTCGGCGCTGCCCGTGTCGAACGGTGCCCGCCAAGGGGTCGTCCGCTTACAATTGGACATCGGGTTTCACGAGTTTGCTGAAACTACACAGACACAGATTCCCCGGGTAGGCTGTAACATGCCGTTGGGGCAAGTGCTGTTAGCGAGGCACCTGTAAATGCCAGAGTGACGTGCCGTGGGCCGGGGGCAGCATCACGCCCGGCCGCCTTTGTCTATCCTTCGCTAATGTTTACATACCTCACTCAACCTAGGGGAGGCCCAGGGTCGTTTCCAATAGTTGCCACTGATGTTAGCCGTGGCTGGGAATTTAACTCGGGTTTCCGGGTTCGGCGCGCTACAAACACGCAACACGCACTTGGTAGCTTGAAGATTTTATCCTCAGAGCTAAAATTTTCTCATGCTCCACGCGTCCTCCAAGGCGCTGGTGACATCGTCTCGAGATGTCACGAGACTTCCTGGTGCTCGGCAACATCTTAGCTGTGCTCGCATTTGTAGACAACGATAACCAAAAAAAAAACAATGCTCGTGCAGGCTGGGGAAAAAAAAAACCTGTAACATTTCACACTTAAGACGTGTCCGGAAGCCTCTGTGCAATATGGGCAATAGCCATCAAATTGATTGTCACATCACAATTGTGTCACTTCACAATACACTTGAGTAAATGTGACCGACAGCAGCAGTGGTGCAGACATGAGACGGCTGCACTGGTTTCGTCACACTTAGGACTCATCGGCACAGTATATTTACCCATGCTCACTGCTGATGACTCCTAATAACGATCAACCGCTCCACCGTTGTATCTCACTGCATCACTACTGCCTGTCAGTCGGTCGCATTTGATGAACAATTTGTTTATCTGACGGTGACCGAAGGTAACAAGGAACCCAGTGCACTTCTTCAGGAAGTGCTGGCGGTATTGGCAGCCAGCATTGCCATCTCCATCTCAGCCGCGACTGATTCCAGTGCCTCTGGTTCCACGCTGTTGATGATCGCTTCGGGGTTTTTGTGTTGTCGGGTAAAACGACCAAAGAAAATATGCAACATGAGAAACATGTTGGCACATTTTCTAACGCGCACTTCAAACTGCAGTCTAATTATAATTCTATTCTTAGCGCCGATACATTTACGGACTCGCGTGCATTTTCTTTTCACAGCTGACGAGGCCCCGCGCGGAGAGACCCTTGACCTTAGTGGATGAGGCGCATCACCGCGGCACCACGAGATGCCGAGGTGCTCTGTAACAGTGTTGCTGGGGCCCCCGAGCAGCCGTGGAGTTTGCACTCACCCCCCACCCCACCCCACCCACTGTTAGAATATAAACTCCGAGTGAGATGACAGAAGCGATGTAAACAAGAGACATAATCACAGATAAATACTGCAGTCGATGCGCGGTGATTCGGTGAGATTCGATGTTTCGTCGATGAATCGCACGAGGCTTGGCGTCAGTCGAGCCACAGCACCGAGGTGTGCTCCCCGTGACCCCTCCCCCCCTGCCCAAGAGCCTTCCACCCCGTGACCCCCCCCCCCTGCCCAAGAGCCTTCCACCCCGTGACCCCCCCCCTACCCAAGAGCCTTCCACGCTTCCACGCTTCCACGCCACGTGGTGGTGGCGGGCGGCCTTGCTGCTGCCGCCGCCACCGCTCCGCGTTGCGCGCCGGGAGGCTCCGTGAGCCCTCGCGGCCCGGCGACCCCCGGCGGGGAGTGGCCCCTGTGGCTGCCAACAAGGCGGCTTCGTTTAGCGAGGCGGAGTCGAGAGACCGGGGATAGAGGCGTTCTCGTTTGCAAGGGTGACCTGGGGCATCAATCAGTCTGCCGGTAGGAGGCGATCATTAGCTGCCGCTCTGTGCGTCGTCCCGATCGAGTCGCTCTGCGAGAAACGTTTTAATCTGGGAACGTTTGGCGGCTGTCGTCGACACGCAACGCCCTGCTGCGACTTGCGAACTCCTTCAGGGGCTCGCTTCGGGTCCACGGCGACATGGACGGCGCCATTCGTTGTTGTTAGTTATTTATTACCGTGGTTATCGCGGCCGCAGTAATAATCGGGGCGGCCGCTGCATTCCAACCGTGAGCGGCCACCGCTGGGCCGTCGTGCGGGCCGTGCGGGTGGCTCCTGCACCCCCCCCCCACGCCCCACGTCCCACGGTGTCCCGCCTCCTACGCTCGCTGACTCGCGGCTGCCCGACAAAACGCGAGAAAACATTTCCACCGCGGATGTAAAATACCAAAACAAAAACGCAGACAAAAACATTCGAGCGTGGAGAGAGAGAGAGAAGGGGGGAGGGGGAATTAATTCTGCAGTTTGACGAAGTGTCAGGGCGCCGTGTCCTGTGGCCCACGGGGGCCGGCAGCTCAGCTCCCACGGGACGGGTCGCCTCGATCCCCGCGGTTCGCACGCCGCCTACGGGAGAGGTGGAACCCACGCGTCGCTCCGACTTGGTCGTTGAAGTTGCAACCTCGCGTGGAATCGCGCGCGTGTGTGCGTATCCACGTGCGCGTCTTGTGCACAATGGGCTAGTGCGCTACCTCTGCTGTGCTACCATTCACCCCGATGGTAAACAGAGAGTTCGGTAATGGAATGGAATCGTCACTGAATTGTGACGAATCGTTGGAGGATCAGTGGTGGTGGGGTGGGGTTCCGGACTCGCCATGAGATGTGAACTCGTCCTGTTCCATCAGTATGGAATCCAGTGTTGCCCCCTCGCATGTGTGGCTTTTCTCGGGGTGTTCAGTTTTCCTCCTCCTCCTTTCTTCGAGGGCGAGCGTCTACTGTGCGGTGGGCCGCAGTCCAGTACAATTTGAAATTGTTATTATCGCTATTTAATTTGTATTGCATCGCAACAAATGGTGGGATCGCTGGGCGAGGTGAATCTGACTCTCTACGAGAGACGTGACCGAACTGCGGCTCGCGAGCTGCGTGCGGGCCCTCTGGCAGTTCAATGGAGAAAAAAAACTCGGATAATTTGACGTGGTCGCTTGTAAAAGTTTCAACACAATCGTCGATTTGAAAGAGGAAGAAATCTGCGGATGCCCGTGCAGCTCGGGGCACTCGCGAGCGGCTGCCTCCTGTCGACTCGCGACCGCTGCTGGCCTAGCGGTAGGACACGTGTCGTGTGGTCGTTAGCAACTCTGCAGGCCGGCGGGTGAACTCGCCGCAGCAACTCTCTTGGATTTCATTCTCAGCAGGCCGTGACCGCCGCTTGACGAAAGTCGGAACCGGTCCTGGGCCTCCTAATAGAGTCGGCTCAGCTTTGCAATGGGTACTTGGTGAGGTGTGTAAACATCAGCACTGGGGAGACAAAGGCGGCTCAGCTTTACAATGGGTAATTGGTGAGGTGTGTAAACATCAGCACTGGGGAGACAAAGGCGGCTCAGCTTTACAATGGGTACTTGGTGAGGTGTGTAAACATCAGCACTGGGGAGACAAAGGCGGCCGGGCGTGGCGCTGGTCACAGCCTCCCCTCGCATGCCGTGCCGGTCTTAATTAGTGCTCCTCGCTCACAGCACTCGCCCCGACGGTCTGTGAGACGCGATGGGGGAGTGGGTTGTCTTTGTGTGCGGTACCATCTGTGTATGTGGGAGGTGTGGAAACTAATAAACAACAAACAACAACAAGAGCTATGTCAGAGGTGCAATGTTACATCAATTTGGCAAATTTTCAAACCAAACGCGTTCAAACCGACGGTTGCATTCTCTTACACATTTCGGGGGGGGGAGGTGGGGGGTGTTTTTGTTACTTTTTTTGTAATCCGCTTGCAAACCGCGCCGCGCTTCATCCCTCGCGGCCATCGCCGCGTGACTGACAGCGCAGGAGTCGGGTCAAGGGTCACGGTAATCTGTGACCCTCTGCATCTCTTTAAGGTCACCGTCTCACTCGTGTCAGCGCTGGACGAGCGCTTCCGTAACAGGAGAGAGAGAGAGAGCGAGAGAGCGCTCGCCGACGGGAATAGCGGCGTGGAGCCTCGCGCAAGTGGAGGAGGTGGTGGAGGAGGTGGTGGAGGAAGTGGTGATGGTGGTGGTAGTGGTGCTAAGGAGGGCACGATGCGCAGGGCTCGCAGGGAGCGCGGCAGAATTCATGAATCGCATCTCGGATTTCGACGACAAACGTAATCCATTTGTCACAAATTAATGAAGACGTGTTTGTTGGTGAAATATTTGCGTTTTTCTGTGTTTACTCGGGCTTTGATTGTATTTCCCTTTGCGGCACCTGCGTGAAAATCAAAACAATTTGCCGTCTGATAGCAGCGGATGCGGCGACGCGCGCGGGGAAAAGGCGCCTGGATTAGGGCGTCGCGATCCTCGGCTCCCTCGTCCCGTGGCACCAGAGCCCTTTGATTTCGAGATAAGAGTCGTCACAATGGCATTTATGGCACAGTGTTCATCTTTTATTCATCTCCAGCCCTTCCGAGAGTGGAGCTCGCTTGAGCGTCATTTTCCTGCTTCCATTTTCGCGCGATGTATCGGGGTTGTGTTTTCTGCTTTTAAAGTTCCTAGCGTTGGCCACAGTTCTCTGGTTCACGGGGAGAGAAAAAAACAACGTCAGTTTCAAACACTGAGCTCACTTTAAACACATTTTATAATATAAACGTATATTTATAAAACACATGCTCAACGTACTTTGAAATTACATGAACTGGTCTGGAGGACATTCAGAAAGACCGAGATGGCAATACGAACGAGATGTTCTGCTTAAGGTCACGCGCTGTCTGCAAGCGAAGTGTTTTATTTGTAATCTAACCTGAAGTAAAAATAATACATGCGTCTCTGTGTTGCTCTCAGAAAATCAACTTGGGTTTTTTTCATTTACAGATTACTATTGCGTGTCTCGATTCCGTACATATATTATTTATATGATGGCAGTGTGCGTGTATGCATTATGTATGTACTATATATACACACACAGACACACGAGACCTACTTTTTTGACTTGAGTATAACTTTCAAGATGTAATCGTGAAGAACTCTGAGCTGTTATCTTGAGAAGTAAGTCCCTGGTGGCTTTTATCAAATGAGAGGCAGAAAAAAAATCCCATTATGTCGCGAGAGGAATCGGCTTAGGTTCCAAACCGATCGGAAACGGCTCACGTATTCTCGCTGACATTTAAAGAATGATAAATAAAGGAGTAAAAAAATATAGCCTTGCAAATAAGTTTTAAAAAAAACCCCACCCCCAACAGGAAAGAAAGCGAAACACTTCCCCATGCAAACATCTCAGAGAAATCAAAGGCAGCGTCGTTCTCGGGAAAACGCCCGTGAATAATTCATGAGCTGGGATTTTTGTCCACAACACAAACTCCTTTTAACCTTCGTGACCTCTGGCAGTGCTCTATTTTCCTCGAGCCGTCCTTGCGCTAAAGTCCCGCTCGAGGAGAATGGCGGAGCAGAGAGCGGCGCGGCGCGACATGCAGCGTGAGCGTCGCCTCGCCGTGGTGGGGGCCTGGCGAGAAGTCGTCCTCCCCTGCCACGGCGAGCAGCGAGCCGTCGATGCAGGATGCTTCTTTCTCAAGGCTCCTGCCGTGTACAGCAAAGTGACTCCCTCGAAATAAACATGTTGAATCTCCAGGGCACAATGGTTCGTCAACTTTGGCCCTCGAGTCATCGTGAATGCGTTGTCGCCGCCGTATGGTAGGAGCTATAATGATGTTGAACATTCATTCGTCATTCGTTTCTTTTCGGTTTGATCATTGTGTGGGTATAATGGCAATATTTAACTATTGTAGCACTTCACTGCCCGACAGAGCCAGTGACATTGAGTTGTCACGTGGGGCAAATATGCCAATTTGGTTTATGAACACAACTGTAATATAGAAAACAAGCAAAATGTTAACAATGTTAACAATGTTAACAATGTGTACAAACACGTTTCGCTGGAGACCACAACCACCGCCATCAGGCGCTGGTTGTATGACCCGACTTCCACACAGGTCAGTGCGGATCACAACATTAAATCTTAAATCTTATTTTTCAATCCCAACCCCCTCCCTTCTAATACAGTATTATCTCATAATACCTTTCCTCGGGACCGTCTTGCACAGCCTCAGACATCCGAGTCGGAGGTCAGTTCCCCGCTGGGCCGTGGCTGAACATTATCCCCGCTCCCTTCTCCCCGCCGCTTTTCTCGGCAAGGAACCTGCAGCTCTCAACACGCTGCCCTTTTTCTCAATGCCCCCGCCTCTGCCCCTAATCATAGCCCCCCCCCCCCATCTCCTCCTCCTGCCACAATCGTAATGTGAATCCAGGGAAGGATATTTCTGCTCACGCACGCCCTTTTAACCGTTCGGTGGTGTCCGGCCTCACCCAGGCCCGCGTTTCTTACAGTGAGAGAAAAAAAGTATTTGATCCCCTGCTGATTTTGTACGTTTGCCCACTGACAAAGAAATGATCAGTCTATAATTTTAATGGTAGGTTTATTTGAACAGTGAGAGACAGAATAACAACAACAAAATCCAGAAAAACGTATGTTAAAAATGTTATAAATTGATTTGCATTTTAATGAGGGAAATAAGTATTTGACCCCCTCTCAATCAGAAAGATTTCTGGCTCCCAGGTGTCTTTTATACAGGTAACGAGCTGAGATTAGGAGCACACTCTTAAAGGGAGTGCTCCTAATCTCAGCTTGTTACCTGTATAAAAGACACCTGTCCACAGAAGCAATCAATCAATCAGATTCCAAACTCTCCACCATGGCCAAGACCAAAGAGCTCTCCAAGGATGTCAGGGACAAGATTGTAGACCTACACAAGGCTGTAATGGGCTACAAAACCATTGCCAAGCAGCTTGATGAGAAGGTGACAACAGTTGGTGCGATTATTCGCAAATGGAAGAAAAACAAAATAACTGTCAATCTCCCTCGGCCTGGGGCTCCATGCAAGATCTCACCTCGTGGAGTTGCAATGATCATGAGAACGGTGAGGAATCAGCCCAGAACTACACGGGAGGATCTTGTCAATGATCTCAAGGCAGCTGGGTCTATTGTCACCAAGAAAACAATTGGTAACACACTATGCCGTGAAGGACTGAAATCCTGCAGCGCCCTCAAGGTCCCCCTGCTCAAGAAAGCACATATACATGCCCGTCTGAAGTTTGCCAATGAACATTTGAATGATTCAGGAGGTGAAAGTGGTGTGGTCAGATGAGACCAAAATGGAGCTCTTTGGCATCAACTCAACTCGCCGTGTTTGGAGGAGGAGGAATGCTGCCTATGACCCCAAGAACACCATCCCCACCGTCAAACATGGAGGTGGAAACATTATGCTTTGGGGGTGTTTTCCTGCTAAGGGGACAGGACAACTTCACCGCATCAAAGGGACGATGGACGGGGCCATGTACCGTCAAATCTTGGGTGAGAACCTCCTTCCCTCAGCCAGGGCATTGAAAATGGGTCGTGGATGGGTATTCCAGCATGACAATGACCCAAAACACACGGCCAAGGCAACAAAGGAGTGGCTCAAGAAGAAGCACATTAAGGTCCTGGAGTGGCCTAGCCAGTCTCCAGACCTTAATCCCATAGAAAATCTGTGTAGGGAGCTGAAGGTTCGAGTTGCCAAACGTCAGCCTCGAAACCTTAATGACTTGGAGAAGATCTGCAAAGAGGAGTGGGACAACATCCCTCCTGAGATGTGTGCAAACCTGGTGGCCAACTACAAGAAACGTCTGACCTCTGTGATTGCCAACAAGCGTTTTGCCACCAAGTACTAAATCATGTTTTGCAGAGGGGTCAAATAATTTTTTCCCTCATTAAAATGAAAATCAATTTATAACATTTTTGATATGCGTTTTTCTGGATTTTGTTGTTGTTATTCTGTCTCTCACTGTTCAAATAAACCTACCATTAAAATTATAGACTGATCATTTCTTTGTCAGTGGGCAAACGTACCATATCAGCAGGAGATCAAATACGTTTTTCCCTCACTGTACATCTTGTGCAGCCCGCTCGCTCCCCATGCACCCTCTGGTCACTGTTGCAAATGTGAAGCGTTGTTCTGTGCGGAGTTTGTCTGTGTGGTGTTTGTCTGTGTGGTGTTTGTCTGTGCGGAGTTTGTCTGTGTGGTGTTTGTCTGTGCGGAGTTTGTCTGTGTGGTGTTTGTCTGTGTGGTGTTTGTGCGGTGTTTGTCTGTGTGGTGTTTGTCTGTGTGGTGTTTGTGCGGTGTTTGTCTGTGTGGTGTTTGTGCGGAGTTTGTCTGTGTGGAGTTTGTCTGTGTGGAGTTTGTCTGTGTGGAGTTTGTCTGTGCGGAGTTTGTCTGTGTGGAGGTTGTCTGTGTGGAGTTTGTCTGTGTGGTGTTTGTCTGTGTGGTGTTTGTCTGTGTGGTGTTTGTCTGTGTGGTGTCTGTGCGGAGTTTGTCTGTGCGGAGTTTGTCTGTGTGGTGCTTGTCTGTGTGGAGTTTGTCTGTGTGGTGTTTGTCTGTGTGGTGTCTGTGCGGAGTTTGTCTGTGCGGAGTTTGTCTGTGTGGTGCTTGTCTGTGTGGAGTTTGTCTGTGTGGTGTCTGTCTGTGTGGTGTTTGTCTGTGTAGAGTTTGTCTGTGCGGAATTTGTCTGTGTGGTGTTTGTCTGTGTGGTGTCTGTCTGTGCGGAGTTTGTCTGTGTGGAGTTTGTCTGTGCGGAGTTTGTCTGTGCGGTGTTTGTCTGTGTGGAGTTTGTCTGTGCGGAGTTTGTCTGTGCGGAGTTTGTCTGTGTGGTGTTTGTCTGTGCGGAGTTTGTCTGTGCGGAGTTTGTCTGTGTGGTGTTTGTCTGTGTGGAGTTTGTCTGTGCGGTGTCTGTGCGGTGTTTGTCTGTGTGGTGTTTGTCTGTGTGGTGTTTGTGCGGAGTTTGTCTGTGCGGAGTTTGTGCGGAGTTTGTCTGTGTGGTGTTTGTCTGTGCGGAGTTTGTCTGTGTGGTGTTTGTCTGTGCGGTGTTTGTCTGTGCGGAGTTTGTCTGTGTGGTGTTTGTCTGTGCGGTGTTTGTCTGTGTGGTGTTTGTCTGTGCGGAGTTTGTCTGTGTGGTGTCTGTGCGGTGTTTGTCTGTGTGGAGTTTGTGCGGAGTTTGTGCGGAGTTTTTCTGTGTGGAGTTTGTCTGTGTGGAGTTTGTCTGTGTGGTGTTTGTCTGTGTGGTGTTTGTCTGTGCGGAGTTTGTCTGTGCGGAGTTTGTCTGTGCGGTGTTTGTCTGTGTGGAGTTTGTCTGTGCGGAGTTTGTCTGTGTGGTGTTTGTCTGTGTGGAGTTTGTCTGTGCGGAGTTTGTCTGTGTGGTGTTTGGCTGTGCGGTGTTTGTCTGTGTGGTGTTTGTCTGTGTGGTGTTTGTCTGTGCGGTGTTTGTCTGTGTGGTGTTTGTCCGTGCGGAGTTTGTCTGTGTGGTGTCTGTGCGGTGTTTGTCTGTGTGGAGTTTGTGCGGAGTTTGTGCGGAGTTTTTCTGTGTGGAGTTTGTCTGTGTGGAGTTTGTCTGTGTGGTGTTTGTCTGTGTGGTGTTTGTCTGTGTGGAGTTTGTCTGTGCGGAGTTTGTCTGTGCGGTGTTTGTCTGTGTGGTGTTTGTGCGGTGTTTGTCTGTGTGGTGTTTGTCTGTGTGGTGTTTGTGCGGTGTTTGTCTGTGTGGTGTTTGTCTGTGTGGTGTTTGTGCGGTGTTTGTCTGTGTGGTGTTTGTGCGGAGTTTGTCTGTGTGGAGTTTGTCTGTGTGGAGTTTGTCTGTGTGGAGTTTGTCTGTGCGGAGTTTGTCTGTGTGGAGGTTGTCTGTGTGGAGTTTGTCTGTGTGGTGTTTGTCTGTGTGGTGTTTGTCTGTGTGGTGTTTGTCTGTGTGGTGTCTGTGCGGAGTTTGTCTGTGCGGAGTTTGTCTGTGTGGTGCTTGTCTGTGTGGAGTTTGTCTGTGTGGTGTTTGTCTGTGTGGTGTCTGTGCGGAGTTTGTCTGTGCGGAGTTTGTCTGTGTGGTGCTTGTCTGTGTGGAGTTTGTCTGTGTGGTGTCTGTCTGTGTGGTGTTTGTCTGTGTAGAATTTGTCTGTGCGGAATTTGTCTGTGTGGTGTTTGTCTGTGTGGTGTCTGTCTGTGCGGAGTTTGTCTGTGTGGAGTTTGTCTGTGCGGAGTTTGTCTGTGCGGAGTTTGTCTGTGTGGAGTTTGTCTGTGCGGAGTTTGTCTGTGCGGTGTCTGTGCGGTGTTTGTCTGTGTGGTGTTTGTCTGTGCGGAGTTTGTCTGTGCGGAGTTTGTCTGTGTGGTGTTTGTCTGTGTGGAGTTTGTCTGTGCGGTGTCTGTGCGGTGTTTGTCTGTGTGGTGTTTGTCTGTGTGGTGTTTGTGCGGAGTTTGTCTGTGCGGAGTTTGTGCGGAGTTTGTCTGTGTGGTGTTTGTCTGTGCGGAGTTTGTCTGTGTGGTGTTTGTCTGTGCGGTGTTTGTCTGTGCGGAGTTTGTCTGTGTGGTGTTTGTCTGTGCGGTGTTTGTCTGTGTGGTGTTTGTCTGTGCGGAGTTTGTCTGTGTGGTGTCTGTGCGGTGTTTGTCTGTGTGGAGTTTGTGCGGAGTTTGTGCGGAGTTTTTCTGTGTGGAGTTTGTCTGTGTGGAGTTTGTCTGTGTGGTGTTTGTCTGTGTGGTGTTTGTCTGTGCGGAGTTTGTCTGTGCGGAGTTTGTCTGTGCGGTGTTTGTCTGTGTGGAGTTTGTCTGTGCGGAGTTTGTCTGTGTGGTGTTTGTCTGTGTGGAGTTTGTCTGTGCGGAGTTTGTCTGTGTGGTGTTTGTCTGTGCGGTGTTTGTCTGTGTGGTGTTTGTCTGTGTGGTGTTTGTCTGTGCGGTGTTTGTCTGTGTGGTGTTTGTCTGTGTGGAGTTTGTCTGTGTGGTGTCTGTGCGGTGTTTGTCTGTGTGGAGTTTGTGCGGAGTTTGTGCGGAGTTTTTCTGTGTGGAGTTTGTCTGTGTGGAGTTTGTCTGTGTGGTGTTTGTCTGTGTGGTGTTTGTCTGTGTGGAGTTTGTCTGTGCGGAGTTTGTCTGTGCGGTGTTTGTCTGTGTGGAGTTTGTCTGTGCGGAGTTTGTCTGTGTGGTGTTTGTCTGTGCGGTGTTTGTCTGTGCGGAGTTTGTCTGTGTGGAGTTTGTCTGTGTGGTGTTTGTCTGTGTGGTGTTTGTCTGTGCGGAGTTTGTCTGTGTGGTGTCTGTGCGGTGTTTGTGTGGAGTTTGTGCGGAGTTTGTGCGGAGTTTTTCTGTGTGGAGTTTGTCTGTGTGGAGTTTGTCTGTGTGGTGTTTGTCTGTGTGGTGTTTGTCTGTGCGGAGTTTGTCTGTGTGGTGTTTGTCTGTGTGGTGTTTGTCTGTGCGGAGTTTGTCTGTGTGGTGTTTGTCTGTGTGGTGTTTGTCTGTGTGGAGTTTGTCTGTGCGGAGTTTGTCTGTGTGGTGTTTGTCTGTGTGGTGTTTGTCTGTGCGGAGTTTGTCTGTGTGGTGTTTGTCTGTGCGGTGTCTGTGCGGAGTTTGTCTGTGCGGAGTTTGTCTGTGTGGTGTTTGTCTGTGTGGTGTTTGTCTGTGGAGTTTGTCTGTGCGGTGTTTGTCTGTGCGGAGTTTGTCTGTGCGGTGTCTGTGCGGAGTTTGTCTGTTACTCCGCCTGTTCTGCCACTAGATCCCCAACCCCCGTAGCTGAAATCTACATGTAATAATCGTAAGATGTAACCGGAATTTGGCCAAAAACATCGCAACGCTGCATAATTGACTTGCAAACGACTCCACTGCCGATCACAGACAGCGGAACCATCGCCACCCTCCTCCCCCTACTACGACCAAGTTGGCAGGACCCTCCTGAAACAGTCTTGAGACTCGGCCATACGTTTCCTGGCTAAACAAGCGGAATCGCCGTCATGAAGTAGAACTTGAAACACAGCTGATGGGTTTACGTCCATGACTCGGGAATGTGCCATGATCGCGCGCACACGACTCGTGCCAATATTTTTGTTTCTCGCTAAACGAGGACCACGTTAGCACATAGGCAAAGGCGCAGCCCTGCAATGGCTCGCTCTCTTCACGGTGGGCAGAAACGCCTCCACGAGAGGGCGCTCCAGAGAGCCCCTGTAGGAGGTATTCGGTTTACCCTTCCACGCTGCCCAGACACTTTGAAAGAGGTGAGAGTACCCACACTTTAACTCACCGCCTATCCACTAAGCGCGCCGCACGTGGTGTGGTTACGCTGCTGCTGCTGCACGCACAGAGGCGGTGGTGGAGGGAATTTCAGAAACTTGCGGGAGATCAAACGAACCGTCGGCCTCCCGAGTGCGCCACCCAACACTGAACACCGCTTAAGCGCTGCACACCGCGGTACACCGCTTAAACACGCACGCTGTGTTCGTCGCTTAATGAAGAGGCTCCCCACCACTGCGCCCTGCTCTCGAGTCCTTTACAGCGGCTCGTAAAAAAAAAGTGCCAACGATGGCGCTTCATGGAGACGAACGCGGCGCGCGAAGCGTCCGGTTTTGTTGCACGCAGCGGGCCCACGGAGGCTCCTTACGACTCCCCCCCCCCCCCCCCATCTCTCTCTGTCCACAGGGCCGGCGTTCTGGGGGCTCGTGAACTCCGGCTGGAACTTGTGCTCCGTCGGCAAGAGGCAGTCGCCGGTGGACGTGGAGACGGGACGGATGATCTTTGACCCTTTCCTGACCCCGATGAAGATCAACACGGGCGGCAGGAAGGTAAGGGGCTCCAGGCAACCCCTTTTGCCAACCACGCGAATTGGTGAAACGCGCGAGCGACTTCGCTGAATCAGCGCAGTGCCGCCCGCTCGCCTCGTCTGGGAATCATCGAGGCCCGGCGCCGGGCGGTCGCCGCCCCCGGCGAGGCGTGAATGGCGGCGAGGCTTTCGCGGGGCGCGGTGATGATGAAGCCCGCTGGGATTCTCGGACCCTCTCGCTTCGTGCGAAAGCGAAGGGTCTCGAGTCGTCTCCTGGGAGAGGCCACACACTGGAAATGGCAACGACGTTGACTCATCCACGCAGTCGGGGGGGGGGGGGGGGGGGATAGGCACGCGGCGCCAATCGTTGCGAGCCACATCGCCTCGAGTCGCTTCGGAATGCGCCTTGAGTTCATACACGGAGGGTCGTACACGTCAGATTACTACCGCGTCTTCGGTAGGCGGTATGTACTGACGTTTCAAAAAACTCACGTGTTTTTATCGTGCCACCTGATTTTGAGGACTTTTTCTTAGCAGCCCATCATCTTTTCACGGTCGATAAAATTGACACCACTTTGTGCTAAAGTAGATGCACTCCCCCCGGCCATAGGAATGTGGAATATCCACGGCTGGCTCAGGGCTGTAAACAGGAGATAAGCACCAATGCGCGAATGCTCATTCGAACAGAAATCGCTTTGACTTTGCACACCTTAGCTGATGAGACGAGGTGCCCTGGTGGAGCATCAAACGTTGTGTGTGTCATCCACCAACCCTCACTGCCTCCACAGTGCGAGATTACAGGTCACTTGCAGCATGCCCTACAGCGTGTGTGTGTGCGCATGTCTACGTGCGTGTGTGTGTGTGCGTGTGTGTGTGTGTCTACGTGAGTGTGTGTGTGTGTCCACGTGCGTGTGCGTGTCTACGTGAGTGTGTGTGTGCGTGTCTACGTGCGTGTGTGTGTCTACGTGCGTCCGCGTGTCTACGTGTGTGTGCGTGTCTACGTGCGTGTGTGTGTGCGTGTCTACCTGCGTGTGTGTGTGTGTCCACGTGCGTGTGGGTGTCTACGTGCGTGTGCGTGTTTATGTGACTGTGTGTGTGCGTGTCTACGTGCGTGTGTGTGCGTGTCTACGTGCGTGTGTGTGTCTACGCGTGTGTGTGCGTGTCTACGTGCGTGTGTGTGTGCGTGTCTACGTGTGTGTGTGCGTTGACAATGATACAATTCAAACAACAATTTCTCCACGGTGAAAACCAGCATTCAAATGAAAAAAAATCTGTGCTAAAAAAAAGACAAAAACACACAGCACTCCCCCTTCTCATGGCGTATGCCGGCAATGCAACGTGTCCAAGAGTTTACAGATACCATCGTGATAATAAGTAAATATTAAAACAGAAAATTGGCATTTTCAAAATTGAATCTGTTCACCGATGCGGTGGGCATGCTCCTTCCCTTGGGTTGGTCGCCACTCTGTCCATCGGCTGGCATCCCCTGTGAGCACGTGTCCTGTTCACAATGACCGAACGTGTGGACGCGGCACAGCTGCCCAAGATGGATTGCGTCCACGCGAATGACATATCGAGGAGAACAACCAGGCCGTAGAGAGCCGGGGCGAGGCGCATGCTTGGAATGACATTGGGAAGGCAGAGGGACGCATGGATGAGAACACGTGCGCAGGGCAACGACTCCGTCATCCACACCGCAGTGTTTAAACAATGAAGTGGACGATGGTCAAGATTCATAATTGAGTGACGGTCAAGGAAATGGAACGCGTCCGATGGACACGTCCGCTCCAGGAGATGGAGCGATGACATCGGTTCGTGTGCTTGGCGCTCGACAGATCGTCGTATCGCGGGGGGTTTCTTGAGAGGCGACGTCGACTTGGCGAGGCGTTCATCCAGCAGTGGCTAGACCACGGCTGCCGATGACGAAGACTCCCTCAGCCGTGTACGCGGCGCGCACGTCCGTGTCGCGTGAGAGGCGGAGCGCGCGGTGCTCACGATAACCGCGGTCGTTCCGCGTGACTCCGCCGACGTGGTGGCAGGAGGCGCGCGGCAGCATCGCCTGCAACGGACTAAACTTTTTCGCGCGACCCGGGTGACTTCGTTGCTTGACAAAATACCGAGCCCGCGATCAGTTGGTGGCCGCGTGGATGATTTGCGGCGGGGTTTGGGATCGCGAGCGCGAGTGAAGCTCTCCCAAGGTTGCTGGCCAGCAATGAGTGCGGTCTCTCGTCGCCGGCTGTAAACGGCTTCTTACGCAAGAGTCGCAGTGAATCTCCACTGCTTTGTGGACGCGTGCGTGAGTGAGCGCGTGAGTGTGTGCATGTGTATGTGTGAGTGTGCGTGCGTGAGTGTGAGTGCATGCGTGTGTGTGAGTGCGTACGTGAGTGTGTGAGTGCGTGCGTGAGTGTGTGAGTGAGTGCGTGAGTATGTGAGTGAGTGTGTGAGTGTGTGAATGCGTGCGTGAGTGTGTGTGTGCGTGTGTGTGAGTGTGTGCGTGCCTACGTGTGTGTGAGTGAGTGCGCCAGTGTGTGTGTGTGAGTGCGTGATTGTGTGAGTGTGTGCGTGAGTGTGTGAGTGAGTTTGTGAGTGCGATAGTGTAGCGGTAAGCGCACTGCGCTATGAACCTGGCGACCCGGGTTCGATTCCCGCTCACGGCCAACACCAGTGACGATTATCTGAACCGGCCCCGGGCCTCCCCTAGGTCGACTCAGCCTCAAATGAGTACCTGGTGCGGTGTGTAAACATTGCCACTAGGGAGACAAAGGCGGTCGGGCGTGGTGCTGGCCACCCACCCCCTCGTGTACCGTTCCGGCCTTCATAGGTGCTCGCTAACAGCACTTGCCCCTACAGTCTGTTAAGGCTATATGGAGGGATCTTTGAGTGAGTACGTGCGTGAGTGTGTGAGTGCGTGCGTGTGTGTGAGTTTGTGTGTGAGTGCGTATGTGCCAGAGTGCGTGCACGCGACGAACTGCAGATCCATCCGCCGTTCGCGTGAAATTCACGTGACGATATATTTTATTGCACCCTAGACACCCTCACAAACAAGATGTTCCATCCAAATGGATTATTATCCAAGTAAAAATATTCTGTCTCGTTAAGTCATCTACTTGTGGTGATATATTTAATGGACTAATTGCTCCAGATCTGAGATGTGTGTAAACTATATTCGTTGTATTTCCTTGCGCGTGATAATAGCAATAGTCATTCACTGCCTGTTTCGTCAGTCCACTGCTAAATTGAAGGCTTTCCTACGCCGCGTCGCACGTGTAGGATGCGTCACCACGCGTCACCACGCGTCACCGCACGTCACCACGCTGGTCAGTGCTGGTCGATGAAGGGGATCTCGTCAGAGCTGGGAAGCTAAGCAGGGCTGAGCCTGGACAGAGCTTGCGATGGGTGACCGCCGCCATGCACACAGTAGACCGGTGTAGTCGCCGTTGTGGGCAGCGCATCGAGACTCACTTTGTTCTACCCCCCTCACTATCGCCAACACGATTTTTTTTTTACCAGGTAGGGCCCACTGAGCTATGAAGCTCTTTTTCAGCTCAACGAAGTGGCTTATCATCACGTGGCAATGTATAGCAGCAGCCAATCACTTTAACGCACGTTGTTGATTTAAATACGGGGAGAGAAAAACCGGAGGACCCGGAGAAAATCCACGCCACCACGGGAAGAGCATGCACACTTCACATGTACAGCATGCGTCAAGGTGGGGATCGAACCCATGGCCTCCTGTACACCAGGCGAGGTAGTTAACATCTCGCCACTGTGGCGCCACCAACGTGGTGAAGTATGGTCAAATATCTCTCACGGCCTCCAGAGCATGGCGGGGAGGGGGGCGCTTCCAGCAGCGGACTGACGATACCGGGGGCTGCACTCGTGCGGTGGCACTCGGCGAGGGTGAGCCCGCCCTGTGATCCACTCCTGCCGAGGCTCCGTGACTCTGCATCTGTCACGGAGGCAGGGACCCTTGGGGGGGTCAAACTGCCACAGGTCAGTGTTGGTCACGTGCGCTTGTGGGCACGTGCAGGAGGGGCGCGTGCGCGGGACAGCGGCGCACGCGCCTAGGAAGGGGTGCAACGCTGGGGCCAACGCTGCACGTTTACTGGGCAGTCGTGTTGACAAATTAGTCTGCGTAACAGACACGACGCGTCGCCCCGTTCGTGAGGCGGAACTGAATAGTGGCTGTCACTAGGCCTGAAGCAGATGAGGGCCTAAAGTTGTCATGAATCTTGAATCATAACCTCACGGCAGCCCAGCCCCGGCGAAGCTATTGGCGCAATATTAATTAGATGGTTTGCTCAAAATACGCGGCATTTGCATGCGTGTCATAGCAGGAGATTATGGTTGATTGTATTTCGCTTTCCTGAAGTGCTAGGTGGCAGGAATCGCTCATGCTGCGTTCACGAGAGTGGAGTCGGCTCTCCGCTTGTCTCGCCCTTTGTGGAGTTCATCTCTCACACTGGGAGTTTTATTTCTCCGGTAATGCCACGGTGAGCATTTGTTGGAATGCTCCGAACTGAAAGGTGAGATCGTGAAAAAAATGTGTATAAAAAATATAAATATAATCGTGGGGGGAAGGGTGGGAGTGGGCAGAGGCTTGCGGGCGGGCATGGAAACAGAATTTAAATCAAACTGCGCCGCAGCTCGAGTACAAAGCGCGTTGATTTGCTCGCTCAAAGGAAGCCGTCCCGATATTCCAATCTCTGGGCTCCAGTTGCCTCTGACATTTTACGGTGCGCAAACATGGCGGCGCATTTAGCCGTGTGGAAGGCAACGGTGTTGTGTGCGCGCGTGTGAAATGGAGTCGCCATCACATCCTTTGGGAATGAGCCAAGAAGGCGCCGCTCTCTCATCCGCCCCGGTAGACGGCGGCGATGCCGTTGTCCCAGCGATGTCGTCATCGCGCGACCCTGTGTGTGACTGCGGGCCGTGAACATTGACGGCGCGTCGCCGTGTTCAGCACTCCGGAGGCCCAGCAGCCCTTAACCTGTTCAACTTTCAGCGGAGCACTTTAGAACT